AAGTGAGGCTTTCACCCTTTTGTATTTACGTGCCTCTTAAAGATCAACTTCTGTTGTGTGCTGGCTTTGAGAAATTTAGTTGACTTCTGCTGTCCAGATCAAGATGTGGCAAAAGATCACCTTGACCTAATGGTATTTATAGGTTGTGTACCTTTTCCCTATCATGTTTGTGTGCCTTTTGATTGCATGCTTCTGGGGGCAGAGCTTGTAACACATTGCTGTTTGAAAATTGCCTATCATTTCTTGGCACTATGGAAACAAATAAGAAATAATAAAGTCTGTTTAAGTTAGCTTAATAGTCTTTGACGTTCTAAATGTATTTCACTAAAACAACTGAATACTTCTCTCCTCCTATATTCTTCAGTGAATGGTGGACTGAAGCTCAGAAGAATAAGAAAATAAGACCCAACCCACATGATACCAAAGTAAAGAAAAAACTGCGCCAACTGCAGCTGAGTTCTGGCTTCCCAAATCCAGCAGTAGTAGAAGCTTACCTGAAACCTGTGGTGGATGAATCAAAGGGAACATTCATCTGGGGAAGGCCTGATGTAGAACAGATCAGAGAATATCTTTTTAAAATCATATGTGATTTGAGTTGTGAACCGAAGTTGCTTTGATCAAAAAGAGTACAAGAGTCAGTTAGCAAGTTCAGTAACCAAGAACCAAATTCTCTCCATGAGGAGGATTTCACTCTAAATGTAAATTGCAAACAAAATCAGTTATCCCATCTTCACTTTGCCTAGCATCCCTTGTCATAGTGCACTTCTATTTCTTGCACTCACTGCAATTTGAGAGAGCGTGCTCTGTGTCTAAAAATGGGTGGTAATTGATCCATTGTTAGGTAACTAAGCCTTTGCTGTATGTACAAACATTGGGATTTTTTTTCCTTACGTTTCACATATTTGTCAATAATGGATGTATCCGGAGTGATCTTTTTGTTAACACAATTTATGAACAATAAGTGGGAACATTTTTTTGACAACATTTAGGATAATCCTGGCATTATATATATAACTAGATCTTGAATTTTCCTTTGTTCTTACAGTTCAAAAATTTGTATTTACAGTATCTTTGAAAGATGCTTGGTTAGGTGAGGAACTTCTATATTTCATATTCACACTTGGGTATTAAGAAGTGTTTAAGTTTTGATGAACCTTAACTGCCTATACATTCTGTCAGAATTGCTTTGGCTGGACTAGGACAAAGACAGATGAAATCCTTTTGCCTGTACTTAAACAGCTGAACTCACAACAGGTAATCATGTTGTTGGAAGCTTTAATGTAGTTTAAGGTTGGTTGGAAAATATAAACATTTAGTATTTTTTAAATGACCAACAAAACTTCAACCAAAAATGTATTACAAACTCAAATCATTTAACAGACTCTGAGCTGAACTGCAACCCCTACAATTCCTTTGAATTCATGGGCTCTCATAAGTTGTAAATCAGCATGGAATTAGGTCTTGTGTACATGAATAGTACAATTATAAATACATATATTTTTAAAACTAAATATCATTAGATTCTAAATTTTTGACCATAAATACAGTTTGGGAGGTGCAAACTATAAATTAGTAAAATCTAGTACTGCTGCCTATCAGCTCATGAGTTCGTGCTTCTGTTTGTTCTACAGTAGCTAATATTACCGATTCCTAAATTAGCATAAGAAAGACCCATGTAATTCCTACTTCTGGTGCATTGAAGCTTGACTCGTCTAGGATTTTCAAAGTGGGTTGGCAAGTCTCCCCTGCAGTCCTGGACACCCGGGGTCACCTACCCGCCCAACCCTGCCTTTCTGCACTGCGCCTAGCTTCCTTGCCCATCCATTTCCCTGAACCCCACCCCCTGAGCCATCCTGACCCTAGCACTATTCCTAGGGGCACCCTGCCTCCATCTGTCTGAACCCCCTCAGCCACTCTGCCCACCAGCTTTAGCCCCAGGTACTCCCTGCCCCCATCTCCCTGCTCCAGGCCAGATAACCCTACCCCCAGTATGCTCCTGCACCCTCCCTCCTGGCCAGGCACCCTACACCCAGTCTTTACCCTCCTCCCGACCAGATACCCTATTCCTAGTCTGCTTCTGCACCCCACCTCCTATATCCTGCAACCCATCCCACTCACTAGCAGCCATGTCCCTAACACTGAACCCCTTATTTCTCCCCCCTCACCCCAGGGTTTAAGGGGGTCCATAAAATCCACTAACTCCAGAACCCCAGAAGAGTAAATCTGGTCTATGGGAAGACCTATACCTCGGTCCTTCCCCTCGCCCCATGGGGCTGGAGAGCCAGAGGAGCGGTGTGTCTCAGTTAGAGGCCACATGAGTGAGGGTTGGGGTTATTTTGAAGACTTTTTTTGCTTTTCACTTGTGAGGTCTCCAACTGATTTTTCTGTGGGTCGGTTGCCCTAACACACAAAAGGTTCTCTCTCCCCCCCCACCCCAAATAAAACCATTGAAAGCTTTTATGTTGAACATACATTAATATTTTATTTTATTTAAAATGAAGTTTCATAAACTAACATGAGAAAGTTAAAGTGCTTCATCTATTTAATAATTTAAATTAAACTAGTGTCCTTAGCTGCAGCACTAACAAAAGGGCTCGGGTGTAATTATGTACTTAATGGTGAGTTTCCATTAGTAGCTGGTGGTTCATGGAAAGGTTTACATTGAGCTAGGTCGTCCATGGGCCAAAAAGTTTGAAAACCACTGATGAAAAGCCTAATATATGTGAATGTTTTTAAGTATTCTCTCCAACAGTTTTACTAAATGAGGTTGTACTTCACTCCCTGTAAAGTCTATACATTAGAAATATCAGCTGTTGCAGGGAGATGCAACTATAGTAATATAGGAATAGGAATACTTTTTATTGTATTACATGAATATATTGATAACTTTTAATCTACACACACAGTTAAAAATGTTGAATTTTAAATTATTCAAAAAGTTAAAGTTCATTAAAGTTAAGACTTTAAAATGTTGCAGTAAGCATTCAGTTCATTTAATCAAAATAATGTTTTTACTTTGCTGGTTTGTGCAAATGAAAGACATAGTTGTAGGCTTTGCTAGTAAATCAATCATTTTATTATGTTAATAATTTTGCATTTGAGAATACTTGAAGTGTGGTTTTTTTTTGCAAGTTTGGGTGTCACCATTTGTGCTGTAATGGCAAATAACTTGTTATAAGTATAAATGTAGTATTTTTAAAATGTGAAGGAAATTTTGTTTCTATAACCATTAATTTGTTTCTTTAAACGGGGCTGTAGTAGTGTTCCGTGCTGTAAGTAAGCTTTTAAAACTTACTGCATAATTATATTATTGTAAGATTGCTAAACTCTTCTGGTAACTCATATTCTATATCTACTTGTGATTCATATTTCATTTGTTTGGTTAGTGTATGTTCTATACCAATTTAGACTATGGCATAATCTGTTTTATTTATAGAATGCTTATCATCATGGTATCTAAACTTACACGTCTTTAATTGTTGTGTACACTTGTAGACTCAGCTTCGAATTGACTCGTTCTTCAGATTAGCAGAACATGAAAAGCAAGCCATTAAGAGCCAGAGACTTCGAAGAGCTGTGACTTGTATGCAAAGGAAAGAAAAAGAAGCAGCAACTGATAAGATTCAGGAGGCTACTGCTGTTGCAGAGAAAAAATTGAAACATGATGAGAAAGGAAAAGTAGCTGTTCAAGATATTGTAGTACAAAGCCAAAAGACAAAGAGGAAAAAGCATTCGAAGTCCAAAGAGGAGAGTTTCTATGGAGGTGGTTTCATTGGAGATGTGCAGCTTTCGGAAGCATCCAGTGGGTCTTCAGAGGAAGATTCTGAAAGCAAAGTTTTACATCTGTGCAAAAGAGGAAAAACTATCAAGAAGTCACCAGTTCAGAAAAACACAGTGAGACAAAAGTACAGTAAAGAGGAAGAGGGGAATGGTAGCTCAAGTAGTGAGGATGGAAATGAGGAGAAAACTGTCATGGTAACCGCCAGGTCTGTGTTTGAGGGCAAAAAAGGGAAATTATGGAATATGAGAGGAAGAAAAAAGAAAAAGTGCTAATTGTATTTTGTTTTATGATCAAATCTTCATTGTAAATATTCTAATGAATTCTTTGGTAGAATAGAATAAACATAAATTATCCCTTGTTTTTGTGTGTATTGAATTTACATTGTGATTAGACTTTAAACAAGAAGTAGTTTTAGCAAGCTTGAATTATAGCTTTTTCAGGATAGTTACTCAGAATGTCCAGTGTTGGACTTCTTATTCAGTGAAAGTATCTGTTACATTAAATGCGAGTTTTCTGACTTAATTAATAAAATTGGGCCAGAAGATGATTTGTCAGTTATATTTCCTATTGGATGGTGAGTTTTGTTACATCACCATCTATCAATGTCATAATTCAGTGAAGTTTGATGTACACAATTTGAGTACTGGGAGAAAAAATCTGCCAGGTTTGGTTACTTTATCTATCTACCTGTCTTCAAAAACTGCATGTTCAAAGTTTCTTGTTCACTGCATCATTCATAGTACAAAAAAGTCTATTGTCTCTTCCCCTACCACAAGATTCATCACTGTGAGAATTTACATAATCCAAACAGGAATGATCTCTGTAGTAGTATTAATCTACTGTGATATTAATCTAAAATTATACATTTTGCCTTCAGATGTGTATAACTTTCATTGAAGTCATAGGAGTCATTTGAGCATGTGAAGGCAAATATTGTCCAAATTCAGAGGTGATGTGAAACTTAGACTTCCCATAAGAATAGACAAAATACTGGCATTGATGCAGGCAGTGAATTCATGAAAATACCGTCTTGGTATTTCAGTGTGCCTGCTAGCCTGTGGCAGACTAGCAGGCTTCCCATGCTGTGATAGCATCCCTAGGAGTATCTGTTTGAGCCAGGACATCTCTGTGGCTGAAAGCCTCTAGAGATGCAGCTTTCCAACTGGAACTCCCAAAGGTGGTAGGCTACCTGCCAATTAGCAGCAAAGAAAAAATTATATTTCTTTGTTTCGTGACTATCCAGTGAACAGACAATAATGCCAATTTCACATGCTGTTTCAGGAGCAATATATCGCAGCTAGAGGCAAACCAAAATCCCTCAATTCTCACCTGCTCTACATATGAGCCACTTAATTTTATTACAATGTAAGAGTATCTACGTTGGTGTAACTTTGGGGTTTTTTCTGTGCGACTTTCCTCTCTGTTGTACTTCTTGCCACTTCTCAGCAGTTCTCTGGGTCAGTGAGGGCCACTGCATGAGTACAGACCAATTTTTTCTTTCTTGTTAACATCTTGTAAAACAGGCCTCTCTCAATCTGAGACATCCCTCTGTTTTTTCCTAGTTATCTTTCTTGTGTTTTTCCAACTTCAGTATTATTCTACAGAAGTTTAGGTGCCCTACAAGGCCTCAGGGCTATAATGGGGCTAATACCTGGAGAAAGATGTTTGCATATTCCTGCCTCAAGAAACATATCGATAAGTTGACCCAGAGGGTCACTTTTTATGAGAAGAGAAATTTAAAGGTGAGAAATAACTGATGTAATCTTATTTTTGTTAGGGTATGAAGAATGTGCATCTAGCTCTTAAAGATTAGAAAACAGCAGAAATTAAATATCTCTGTTCCTTGGAGAGAGTTCTGAGTGTAAACTTCAGTTCCTGAATGTTATCTTTTTAATGTCTCATATAGTGGAAGGATCTTTAGTTTTAACTTTTCATCCTTTGAATGTGACATCAGATGGATGTGAACAATTGGGAAGATCACACTCAACACTGCAGCCTTTGGAAACACGCTAAACAAAGGTCTCTGGAGTTATGAGAGGAAACAGTTCAGTTCAGCAGAGGAGACGAGAGTTTGCAGAAGTCTGAGCCCAAAGGGTCAAAACATCACCTTGAAATGTGACACGTGGCAGAAATTCTCTCTCTTGAATGGGTCTCTTCAGTCATGTCTGCCATAAAAGCATCTGAATAAATTCTTTACCTCTTAGGGAGCCTACCTATGGCTCTTGAGGAAGGATGCCCACTGCTACATTTGAAAGTCCACAGACATACAGTGAATTGCATAGAACTTTATTTATCTACCTCCGAAGGATGAAATGCTGAGATGATTTTGATAGGACTTGACCTTGGGGCTCCCGGGAGTCAAGTATTTCATGAAGGAGTCTTACAGTAGTAATCCAAACCCTCTGTGTAGAAAATTATGCCTTCTGATGAGGGATGTAAGAGACTAGTTGTATCCGATAACCTTCTGCTTAGAAGCTGGTTCCCTATAGCACCATCTCCACAGGGGCCAGGAGAGGTAGAGGCACAGTGGAAACGGCAAGTGGGAATAGAAGCAGTCTCCACTTGCGTTGCTTCTGCTGCAAGTCTGCTTTTGCAACGTACAGGAGTCTTGCAGTGCCTCAGCCATTGACATGTACAGAGCCCTAATGGGACTCTTGTATATTTCAAAAGGAAGCCCTGCAGGGAGCGAGGGGCCAGCGGGAGTTCCCCTGCTGGCCCCGCACACTCTGTGTGCTTCCTTTATAAGAAAAATCCCATCGACTGTTTGATTGATTAATCTAAATTTAACATCCCTGCTTCAGCTGAATCCACAACTATGGATATTTGCTGATATCCCAAGCAAATATCCATAGTTGTAGATTCAGCTGAAAGAGGTGGTTGCAGATCTTTCTCTAGTGGTAAGCTAGCCTTGTATTTGAAATAAATATGTTTTGTTTGACAGTGGCTCCCAAGTATAAAATGTTCTTTCCAGAATTTACAATTGTTAAGTATGGTAGAATTCTACTGTTCTTTAAGTTCTAGTGCAGTTTCATTTTATGAATATTTTTAATAACACCTATAGGCTAATGAGATTTTGAGGCTCTATTATATCTAGATCGGTGGTTCCCAATCTTCCAGATGAGGACCCATTTTGACAATTCAGGAAGACTTGGTGACCCAGGGCAATTCAAAAAATATGTGAATGGCTCCTTAAGAGCCACCTGGGGAGACACCTGGCGACCCTTTTGAAATGTAATGGTGACCCATATGTTGGGAAACCTTGATCTAGGTGCTATATAAAGGTAGAGTAAGAAACAATCTGTGCCCTTAAGAGTTTTCAGTCTAAATAAGATTTTGAGAGAGATATGTGACTCCACTGATCTAATTGTTCTTTTTTTGGAAGAGATTGAAGGGGAAACTGCTGATAGAAAAGATTCTGAGATGAGAGATCTTATAGATGCACTTACTGCCAAATTTTCAGTATTTGAAGTTTGTATACAAAGATGTACAATTATATGCCTGTACTTGCCTCTTTTTTAAATTGAGCATGTGAGTGTACAGATCTGCTCTGAGGTAATCAGTTGTAGTAATTTTGCACTCAAATTTACACATGCAATTGTACATGCATCTCACAAACCAGACCTCTATTGCTTTAAATATTACCCTTAATGTCTGGAAGAAAAGTTTAGTTTTGAATGATTTTTTCCTTTATTTTTTTTAAATGATCTAGATAGTCACAGCCTTAGTAAGTGCTATTCTATTTTTGTGAATTTGTCCAGATTACTTAATTTTACTTGTTGGAGTGCTATTGCATTTAGACCTCTTGCTGTTATGAAACTCCTCCTCCCTTATGTAAGAGTACCAAGTTATCTGGGAAACGCAGCACTGTGTGACCACTTTGTGTTCAGGCTGCAGCTGTCAGGATTTATTAATGCCTTTTGGTGGGGAATTGTTCGCAGTATGTAACAGACTTGAGTGCTTTTCTATCTGGGACTATTTGAGCTAATTGAAAGGGAAAGTCCAGCAGATAAACCTTTCTGTATCTCCTTTATTTGAAGGCCAGGAGAATAGATTCAGGTATGTTGATGGATACAATGTAATATAGCTTTTACACACTGGACACCATAGAAATTCTTCATGCCTGAATTTTCATAATTCATTCTAATTAATCTGAATTACTTTGTGTTATTTAATATAAGCAGTGTAAGTTACTGATTGAACTGTTTAGTACTGGAGTACTTTTAGTTAATCATAGCACTGGAGTGCAAAATCCAGTAAGCAGGCTATGAATTAACATTCAAAATCTAACAGGATGTTTTCTAGTTTAGTAGACATAAGTGTATTGTGGACATGGCCTTAAGAAGAAAAAACGCATGGGTGATATAAAAAGAAATGTTTTCCCAGCTTAAAGTGGCTGTGTGGTAAAACAATATTGTCTGTCATGCAGAGTGCCTCATTAATTTCTCCTCCAATATAAAGAAAAACAATGCATTCTACATCAATATGAACTCACTTTTTAAAACTATATTTTTATTTTTCATGCAGCTCTTAACTGTGTATTCCTCATTGTTTGCCTTGTCTGTTTTTTCCTAAGCAGAATTTTGGTTTCCAGCACAAAATTTTCTTTCTCTCTCTGACGCACATGCGCACACACACACACACACACACTATCTATCTATCTATCTATCTATCTATCTATCTATCTATCTATCTATCTATCTATCTATCTATCATCTATCTATCTATCTATATTTGTTAGTATGAATATATTTTCTGTCCAGTATTGTATCACATAAAATGGACGTGACACCATCGCAGTGTAATCATCTGATATCTGCTGTATTAACAAGGAATCTGGAACACAAAGAAGGTAATTTATTTTAATTATCTGCTTCATTTTCCTGTATGCTTGAGATTGAGGAGGAAGAAAATGTGGTGTTCTGTGAGGTATTTTCATACTCATTTCACATAAGGAACTGTGTTAACATTTATATAAAAATGCATTTATTGCAGTTTTATAGCCCAAATTCATAATATTATGCCATGCCAGCTCACCCCAACCCTAGCAGTTTCTTACCAGAGTGCACAGTAGTGTGTATGGCAGGTTGCTCATTTCTGGTTCCAGTGAATTAAGCTGTTGCCATAGATCAGGATATTAATGTAGAGTTTCTATGTGGGGTATCAATTAGTCAAAATGAATTACTTATAAGCTCAATTTTGGTTTGGACTGCCTCCAACTTAATCCTGAGAAATCATCACATAAAGCTGGTAACAGGGTCAGGTTTGCTCCTACAAAATTTGTGACTGCGGGCCCTCTGATTTGTAAAGACCCTTAACCTTTAAGGCTAATCTCAGATTTTAGGTTTTAAATTAAAAAAACCCTGTAAAATAGTGGCTGGGATGGGAGTTTTCAAAATGTTAACTTATATCTAGGACTGGACATTTGTCATAATGAATGGTCAGCATTCACTTCTTGAGCAACTATTCAGTATTCATGTTTTTCTATTGCACATTGTTCAGACCCTGCTTTAAAGGCAGTTAACATCCTCATATGCTTTTTCAATTGTATTAGTCACTACAGTATATGCATGCTTCACAAACATCAGCATGTATTTTCATAACACTTCCCCTGTGAGGTCAGGGAGTGGTGGTATCCAAAAATTGAGGCACAGAGAGATTGAAGTCAAAAGTATCCATTTATTTTGGATGCCCAATTTGAGATGCTTAGGAACTGTGAAAAATCAGGTCCTGCCATTATATAGCACTTTGAACGCATAAAGCTCAGTACCCGTTCATGTTAGTTGCTGCTATGAGTTTTCAGCACTTTTGCAAATCAAACTCTATGGTCTCAAGTTAAGTAACCAGAAAAAGGCACCCACAATTGTTCGAGGGCTTTTTCCATTCACCTCCTTCCCTGGTTCTTGTCATGCAGACAGAAAGTGGAAGATCAGAAGTCTGAAATGCAGGCATTACAATGCTTTGGGGATTAGTTTCAAGCAAGCATAAGACTTCCTCTACAGCAAGTCCAAATGAATTAAAACTCCTGGTAGAGATTGTATTTATTCAGGGAGCAATGTAACCTGTAAGTTTTTGCAGCTGCACTGGGCAGCATTTTCAAAACAAGATAGCATTTATTAGCTGGTATACAATCTTTTAAGACTCCTTAGATCAGCATGGAAAAGTCAAGCTTATGTCTGTGTTTATAGTGACAGGAAAAACTGGTCTATGTTTCCATGGCTTCCTGCAGTCCATCTCAGTCTCTTCTGGACCCCTGACCCTGGTATGTGTCTGCCTGGTGTCAGGTGACCACATTAAGAAGAACAGCACTCACAGACTCCTGTGTCTTTCTCCCCAGTTGCAGCCCTGTGTGTTCCATGCCTTCTCCTTCCCTGACTACCAGGCATTAAAAGACAATGTTTAGTCAGTGTTTGACTACCGGGTCTTTCTTTTTCTCTCCTGGATACTTCATTCATATGTGTTTAATTCATTAAGTTCTTGTTGGCACTCGAGCCCAACCCAGATAGACCTTCCGCCAACATAGGATGACCATATTTCCTCACGCTGAATATGGGACACCTCATAAAATTACTCCTATTCAAGCAAGTTCCATGGCGATCATCTATACAATACAAACGTTCAAATCAACATCCAGGTGACTGTTAAAAAGAAATACTGTGAAGTTGAGCATTTTTATTTTATTTACCTTCTTTAAGGCTTTAGGATTTCCACAGAGAAAGGTGAGACACACACCCCTACTCTGCCACATACACACATGCTACTCCCAAACATCTCTCTTACATGGAGATCAAGCAGCTGACTGACTGACCCAACCCTCCTTGCTCAGAACTCTTCACTCTCCATGCCTGGTTGGTGGTGCCATGTCATGCCAAGGCAATGTGTGTGTGGGAAGTACAAAGAGTCACATGCCCCCTTATTTCTGCTAGAGTTCACACCTGAACATGACTTGACTTAGCAGCCTTTTGGCACTGCAGGAGGGAAGAGTCAGGAGCTCCTTCCAGTCGAGGGAGAGGAGGAGGGGAAGGGATGACATTACCCAGGTCTTTGCAGAGCTCATCTCTTCCTATTAATATCTTTGCAGGCATTAATAGCAGTAGTATTGGATTATCTGCAAGGCCTATAAAAGATTAAGCCAAAGAACATTAGTCAAATAGTCTCTATGTAAATTTATTCTCTGGAAAAATATTTTGTTTCATGTTCTTTGAAAGTAGCAAATTACTGTCAGGATGTGTTAAGTGAAGTGGAAGGATTTAGTGTTCTACAGCCTCTGCTAATCACTACTAGCTCATCTAACAATTGCTATATTGAATTAGTCTGCAAGGCGCTTCCTGACTACTCTTTCAAATCTTTCAAGGGCATGGTTAATGTTATGTTCTATTTAGGTTCTTATGCTATATTCGTCCCAGTAATATCATGTGAGCATAAACCAGCATAACTATCATTTGTCACATATTTTCTCTCCTATTCTTCACAGCGGCAGAGGGGTATGTGAAGGAGTGTTGTTGGTTGAGGTTTTTTTTATTATAACGGACCTGCTGGATGGGGAGTCTGGAATGGAGAGATTTAGAATTACTGAGACTGGGACCAGAAAGCTGAGGAGGGGAGTCTGAGACTGATTTAGGCACGGAGAATGTGATGGGAAGAGGAGCCAGTGTTGAGGTAGAAAGAGGACTGGTGGACAGACAGTTAGTGTGTAATTAGTTGTGTAACCACATCAAAATTTAGTTACACAGTTATTCTATAGTCCCTGTGGGTGGGCCGGGAGCCATGCATTCCCGGCCCCAATCCTGGGGAGCACTCTGTGTTTCTGCCTTTCTATCAGAAGCAGCAGCACAGAGGTCGAGGAGCAGGTGGATCCAGTGCTTGTGGGGAGCTGGCTTAAAGCTGGCTTCCCATGGCACTCCCACATCCTCCCCCCGCCCCCCCTTGCTGCCCTGATACAGAGGCAGTGTGTGTGGGGGGGGGGGGGGGGAGGGAAGGAGGTATGTGTGGTGTCGACAGGATTAACCAGTAAACCCTTATTGTTTACTTATGTAGTCATCCTCCATGTTGACATACTAGGCAGAAGAGGTCCAGTTTGAGGGGAATGGGCAGCAGACTGACCATTAAAGTACGCTTCCCTCAAGCACCTGGATTGGAACTCATATCCTAGCATTTTAGCATTCCTCTGCTGTTAGCCCTTATTTGGGTTCCTTGAGCATGTACATTATGATATGGTCTTTAATTACATGAACACATACTGATTTTTCCACAGGACCTCTGCTTTATTCTGTCTACAGTATATCCTTTTTTATGTGCAATGTACACATGTGCACACATGTTTGTATGTGTTTGTTAGAGAAGGCAGGTCAAAGAAATATGCCTTGCACTTAGAGCAGAAGGTGATAAAGTTTGTGCTGGCCCTTAGCTCCTGGGAGGGACTATATTCCACAGACTTCCATCTACGGCAGTTTTCTGTTGTACCTCAGGAATGAAGTTGTAGATTATGGTCCTCATCCTGGATCATTAGGCATTTTTAGATACTGTGGCCCCAGGCTGAGGAGCACCTTGAAGATAAGGAGTGAGACCTTTAATCTGATTCAGTGTTCTATAGAAAGTAAAGAGCAGAGGTCAGGTTTGATGAGTTCATGGTAGCCTGTGGTTCTGAAGAGATGAGCTGTGGCCTTCTGGATCCATTGGTGTTTCCTAAGTGCTGAGTGCTTCATGCTGCAGTCGAGCTGAAAGGTGACAAGGGCATGAATAACTGAAGAATTCCTTGTTTCTCAAGGACCCCTCAAACAAGGTAATGAGAAGCAGATAAAATGAAATAGGAACAAAGATTATTGGACTCTGGGCTCCAGTCGTGAAGCCTTTGCATGTGCAAGGAGTTCATTAGTGGTCATTCACATCAGGGATTTTTCACAAAAGTAAGGCTTGTAAGAGTAAGGCACAGTCAACCTGTGGAACTCCTTGTCACAGGATGTTGTGAAGACTAGGACTTTAACACGGTTCAAAAAAGAGCTAGATAAATTCATGGAGGTTAGATCCATCAATGGCTATTAGCCAGAATGGGTAGGAATGATATCTCTAGCCTCTGTTTGTTAGTCTGGAAATGGATGACAGGAAAGGAATCACGTGATGATTATTTGTTGTGTTCCCTCCCTCTTGGGCATCTGATATTGACCACAATCAGCAGACAGGATACTGGGCTAGATGGACCTTTGGCCTGAGCTAGTATGGCTGTTCTTATATTCTTAGATCATGCTAATAGCTCAGGGGACTTGTCAGTATTCTCAGGATTGGACCCTAATCTAGATCAAAATAGAGGCTCTAATTTTTATAGGCCAAAGAGATTCAGACTAACATCTGAAAGATGTGTATGCAAAATGAGAAATAGCTTCTGAGGTTTACCCTTAAGTGTTACTAAATATGACTATGTGTTCTCCCTACCCCTCCTTTATGAATTGGGAAAGTAACCTTTATTGGAAGTAAAAATAAAGAAGTTGTTACACAATTGCTTTAAGATGAAAGCACTATTGTCAGAACATTGTACTTTCATAGAATACTAAGACTGGAAGGGACCTTGAGAGATCATAGAGTCCAGTCCCTTGCCCTCATGGCAGGACCCACTACTGTCTAGACCATCCCTGATAGACATTTATCTAAGCTACTCTTAAATATCTCCAGAGATGGAGACTTTACAACCTCCCTAGGCAATTTATTCCAGTGTTTAACCACCTTGAGAGTTAAGAACTTTTTCCTAATGTCCAACCTAAACCTCCCTTGCTGCAGTTTAAGCCCATGGCTTCTTGTTCTATCCTCAGAGGTCAGGAAGAACAATTTTTCTCCCTCCTCCTTGTGACACCCTTTTAG